GCCGCCACAAGCGGATATATCTGTCATCTTGACCTTGGTTACTAACTGTAACCATGCCTGATCACAGGGTTATTTCAACTTTTACCTTGGTCAAATTTCTTTTGTCTTTTGCGGCATTTAACAAAGTATCAGTTAGCGTTTACACACGGAAAATGTTTACCTAGGTAAGTAAACTCTGGTACCTCAGTAAACCGTTCAAGTCTAAACACGGCATGAGTGTAATACCTTGAGCTAATCGAGAATTATCTTAGTTGATTATTTCCTAGAGAATTGTTTCACTGGAACTTCGAATTAGTTCTGAGCACCTTAATCTGTACTAATTTACTTAATTTCGACAAAACAACGCTGAAATGGGGAACAGTTTACAATAATTCGTACAGACTTGTTCTTGGTATGCAAAGTGTTTGTTTAGCTCTCAGGGCCGCTCTTAGGGAGTATCGAGGATGCTTCAAGGAAACATTATGACGTTCTGTGCTGCTTTTGGTTTACTTCACATCCATCTATTTACCAGTACTGAGACGTGTGATTCGTTATTTTGAAATAGTGAAAACGAATCGTGTCAGGCTTGCACAGGTATCCTTGTATCGTCTCTAAGCTTATATCCCTCAGTTAAGAATTTGACTCGCCAGCGATGTTGACTGTGTTGAACCCAGTTTGGTTCGGCAAGTTAGCTTTGGTGCGGCAAATATATAACATTAAATTCGGCAGGGTCTGTCGCAGTATGCGACGTTGGAGCGGCAGCTGATTCATACGGCGTTCTCCTCATGTGTCGAACCTAATGCATAAATTAGTGTAATGTATTTTTCATATAACGGGACTCGTGATTGGCTGAAAATTGAGTGGCGTGACCAGCAAGAAGCTTTAAGTCGTTGCTAAAAATAAAGACAGCAAAGTACCGGTATGCCTTCGATTTATGAGAAACGGAGCTTTACAAGCGAGTTTCTTTAGCGCAAATTCACTTTTTGCTTTTTCTTCGTGATAATAGCCCAGCTTAGGAGATTTCCTTTTAAAAAGTCGAATTAACCAGGAGAAAACCTGTCTAAATACAAACACTGAACCTTGAGTTTGAATTTGCTCCCGTTAATATTGCTATAACAGCGAAATGTTAGTCACAGCTTTTCTATTTGGACAGAGTTCTTGAATTCAGAACGTATATTTTCTTGTCGAAAATTGTTACCACCTTTTTCCGCATTAAGTTCGACTCAAGTACGCCGTCTGAACCAGCCGTCGCTCCAAAGTCGCTCTAAAGGCGAAATTAATTAAGTTTGGTTCGGCACATGAGTGGAGCGGCGTTTGGACCGGGCCTAACTTTGATTTTAGTTAAACTGTTTCTGCCCCTTACTCACAGGGAAGCACTGTTTATCAACACCATAGACCGGTTTCCAGTGCTGCTGATATGTGGGAGGCGGCGTGGCCGAGTGCCGTTTAGGGCGCTGGATTTGAAATCTGGAGGTCCCTGGTTCAAATCCTCCGCCCTACCGCTATCTGGATTTGTTCTTGGTAGCCCTGAGTTCAACTCCTCGGCGGCGTTGTGTAAATAGCCAACTGGTCAGCCTCCCACCAGTTGGGATTCTTAATAGTTTATGTTATATTTGAAATATTTGTTTATTTATTTATAGTGTCCCCAATTAGCACATTAGTGCTAAATACGTCGACACTTAAATAAAGTGATTTTCAGCATAACAGACTTGTCAGCGTAAAGTAAATCAAGTATAATTTGGCTAGATGTGGTTTCATAACGTAGTACATATATGCATGATGACCACAGTAGTGGAAATCATTCCATATAGACCCATTTCAGTAATTCCTAATCTGGAAGGAAAAAAAATGGTTCTCTCCCCTGAGAGAAACAAACCTTTCAAATGCAAAACAATCTTATTGTTTTTTCCTCTAGATTGGGAATTAACCGAAAGGGGTCTGTTTGTACCATCTGAGTCAACGACAGCTTACACTTAAGATTGTACATTTAAATTATAAATGTTGTCATCTAGGCAAGCTTGCAACAAACGGTCTTTACTTGTTCTTTAAAGCCTCACTGTCTTTGAATAAATGCGTTTTAGTAGTCGGTTTCATACAAATTATATATTAATATGCATTGTTCATGTTTTAAATAAAATGACGAAGGATCACTACGAGACTTATCACTTTCAATAAGGTAATATGCATGTATTTTATGTCCGACAAAGTAAGCACTGCGTACTTATTTTAGCCTCTATTTTTCAAGACTTTGAACGCACGGGAATGAAAAAGCGAGCAAAGCGAACGTGAAGCACGCGGGGGTGGGGGCGAGGAGAGCAAAGCGAGCTATTAACGAAGAATAGAGAGACTGTAGAAATCTTTGGAAAAATAAACTGGTTTTATTAGGCTCCTACCCCTGCTATCGCCTTGTCGCAAAAATCTCCGCCTCTTGACTAATTAAGTAAATCGGACCAATTAATATGAAAAGCCATAACTTTCTTATGTGTCTTTTATCATTATGTTGTGTGGTTTCTTCATTATGTGTTGTAGTTATGTTCTGTGGTTTCTTCATTATGTCCTGTAATGTAGTCCTGACGTGATGTGTTTTTATCATGATGTGGTGTAATAACTTCAGTACGTGGTGTGGTTTTATCGTGATGTATTGAGGTTGTTAAGTTATGTTTTGTGTTCTTGTCGTGATGTAATGTGGTTACGCTGTTATGTGGTCTGGTATCTTCGCTATGTGGTTCGATCATTACGTGATGTGGTTTCGTCTTTATGTCTTCTTGACCTCACTTCCGATACCAAGCTCTAGTACCCAGGCTTCTTGCTATCACGAACTGGCTAAACCAGTTTTTTGATGGGTTCCGGTTCCTTCTCTTCCCCGGTGTTAAAGACAACAAAATGGCGGGAACAAGCAACGACATTTTGTCAACTATACTTGAGAAGATGCACCTTGGGCATCTTACTGAGAACTTCCAGCGTAAAAGGGTAACTGTGGATCAAATATGTATGCTATGTTGTGAAGAAATGGAACTTTTAGGTGTGAACAATCGCAACGCAAAGATGAATTTAAGGTTAGAGTGTTTAAACTACGGTAGCAATCTACCGTTAAGGAAACCAGGAAAACAAGTGTGTGGCGCTCCTGAATACTTAATTTCTATGTCAGCTTTAGAGGGGTACCTGGAGGATGGCTTTAATATTAAGGACAACGCATGAAACTTGGAAATTCAAACGTACTCTATTAAAAAGTTAAGTATCTTGTAAAACGTCTAGTTCTTAGAGGGTCTTACATCTCATGAAACTGAAACTTCAAAAGGATTTATAGTTTTTAATTTTGAAAAAGGATGACGTCACATTAAAAGCGGCAATATTTTAGTTATAATCACGTGTTAATAATGACGTCATATTACGCCAAATGACATCACACATTTCAAAATGTCCACCATCTGCCTGATCTCCTTTGCAGCCGTTATCGGAGTCGTCGCGCAACGCTAATCCGCACTAACGGATACTTACTCCGCAACCGTTTTTCTCGTTTTCTTGTGTAAGCAAACATTTTGAAACCTATGGGCAATTAAGTAACAGTTGGTGTTTGCCTAAAGTAAGTGCTGCAAGATCGTTCAGTTTGGAAAACATCGTCCTAAAATCCAAGTTCGCAATACCACAGAAAAAGATCAAATTTCAGCTAACGCCCTTTTAAAACATGTTTGCCATAGAAACGTCAGGGCAAGTGATCAAACAATAGGCCACGTCAAATAGTTAAATATTCTAACATGGCTCCGAGGCTTTCAGGACAAAATTGCATTTTTTTTAAATTTTCCTTTGTTCCTCAATTTCCAAAAAGAGTTGAATACAAAGAAAGCACCACCAAATATAGAGGTTTGTCCTGAAAGCCATGTTAGATTGCTGATATATCGAACGTGGCCAATTGAGCAACTAAAATGTTCCCTTTAATTTACACAAAGTTTGTTCACTATAATGAGGCCCTGTTAGGGGAGGTGCGACTAAGTCATGATCCTGGGTAAATTTTGGAAATAATCCGTATCCCAATTTATGTAAAAACAAATATCCCTAAAATACAATTCTAAAACAATATATGTGTAGTAACCCCAAATTACTAGCGAGGATATATCGATAATTTGTGTCACGTGAAGTGACTTAAGTACATGAACTGTATGTCAGGCCAGACTTTCAGTCACATGGGTGTTCAGGGCTTCAGTGGACGTCCACGTACTGAAGAAAATCATTTTATTTTTCACATGTTTCGAGAAGCAGACCCTATAGCACATTTTCGATGTCAACTTTTTCAGTCAAATCCTTACTAAAAGCTTCTGCCCGGGCATGTTAAGGGTTGTTTTTCCCTACCCTTTCAGCCTATGGCTAAGTAACAAAATTTGTATTTCAAAAATACAACAGACTTCATTAACTTCCGAGATAATATGGAAGTCACAGAAACGCAATCCTAGCTTGCGTTAATGGATGTGACAAGGCTGTACACAAACATACCACAGGAGGAAGGCATTACTACCGTGTGCAATGGGTGCGAGCGTTTCTATAACATGCCTTCTTATTTAATTCCAACCCATTTCTATGCTTCAGCTGCAAGACCTATATTACAAGAGAATCCTTTCCAGTTCAATGGAATGAATTATCTCCAAATACACAGACCCTCTAAGGGAACCAAAATGGCAGTATCTTTTAATTGCCAACCTATTTATGGCAGCCATTGAGACAGAAATCTAAAATAAGAACGTACACATACAGAAACCACTGGTGGGGAAAACATATAACGATGAAGTGGAACATAAGTGTAAAGGGAAATAAATGGGTTCATTGAACAGGCAAACAGACATCATTCAATTATTAAATTTGCAGCTGAAGCACTAGGAAGGAAACTATTTATCTTTACACTTGTGTCTACCGATAGTAACGTTTCAGCAACGTTTCAGTACACGTGTTTCCGTCTTCCTGCCACCCACCGGTGGACAGTTAAGGTTTCATCAAAAGTGAAGTACTAGGTTGCTTTAAACTAACCCTACAAAAGTAACTTTTGTAGGGAGTATTAGAGAATTTAAGCCACGCCTGCAAGTGAGAAGTTATCGAGAGTCGTGTAGGCCTTTCACGAGTCTTTCACATCTCTTTAGTTTTTTGAATATAAAATATTACCCGAAAGTCCTTAGCGACTAAGGACTACCACCGCGATGCTAGCTCAGAATTTTGACTAGGAGCACTGGAGGGGTTACTGGAGATAAATAATATTCGTCATCATTTTATCTCTTTTTAGACCTTTCATATACGATTATGACCGATAATAATCCATTATTTTAAAATGAAAAACGAATAATCCGTAATGCTGAAATTTAGTGGCCAATAATCCGTATCCCTTCTCTAAAATCCGCTAATAATCCATAATCCTAAAACCCTAACAGTTCCTCCATAATATGAGTGCAGTTTATAAATAAGCAAAAATTGAAATCAGCGCAGGAACTTTAAGCCCGCCCTACCCCCGACTAAATAGAGTTAAATCAACATAAAATAAAACATACCTATAACTTCCACTTTCATCTTGCGTTTCCACAATTTCTGGTCTACTCCTTGGAAAGTACTCAGGTGACAGGTAAATTCTCCATCATCCTCTTCAGTCACATTGAAAATAATCAAAGTGGCTCTCTGGGAAATCCATGTGAAATTGAACCTTCGCTCAAAACCTGATGTTATTCCAGCTACTCCTGATAATAGCACGACAACGGCAACTTGTACACTGTTAAGTCTAAGAATTACCGAACTCGGACTTAAGTCTGGCGTCAGACTGAAGTTCCAGCTCAGTTGTACATGAGTAGATCCTTCAAGAAGTTGTCTACTGTCCGCGGTCAGCTCTATGCTGTGATCTGATGTTGTCTCGATTGGAGGAGGCTCATACCATGTGACACTTCCCGCGTCTGAAATAAAAAAAAAACACCGCCTTACGATAGTCAAAACATCTCACAGAAGATGATCAATTATCACCCAAAGATTCCCGAGCAGACCCTTGCGAGACATGTAAATCATGGACAAAGGTAAAATTGAAGTCCGAAGAAAGCTTAGTCACTTGACAAAGATAAAATAAAAAATTGGCATCCAGTGAGATTGTCAAGGAACAGCTCCCAGAAAAAAACAGCCTGCGTAGCTGGCGGGATTTTGCCCTCGAGTGCTTTGCTTCGACGGCGGAGTGCTCAACGAAAGCGGCAAAGCCGCGAGGAAAATGGAGAGTAATGAACTTAATGGAATTTCATCGCTCCAACTTCGATGGCAGGCTCTTTCTCCCTTGCCTCCTTTATCGTTGAGAAGAGAGACTGTCACGTGGCCACCTGCGACACAAACATTTCCATCGGGGTAAGGTTCACGAATATTTCTTCGACCTCTAACGAAGCAAAAGCAAAACGATCGCCCTAAAGCAAACACGCGCAGTACACCTTTGAAAGTCCCCAGTCCTATTCTAAGCTTCATAGAGGTCACACGAAATATGAGATTTATTACAAAGTGGATAAATAATTTTATGCGACCTGCATCGTGATGAGTTTCCCGGATGGTCTTACATCCGGGACTCGAATAGATTTAGATTAAGCATTTGAGCATCCAGTTGCAGGCCTCTTTTCTAGAAGCTTCGGTGCAGGGCAAGCTTTTATTTCTCGGTAATCTCACGTAATACTTCTCTTACGGAGTCCCCTTCGACTTGCAGACGGCAGGAGAGAAGTCCAAGACGGTTTTCTCAAACATTCGTCAGAGTTCAAGTTAAGTACGCTGTGTTTAGTAGTTTTAACAGCTGTTGAATTCCTGTTGTTCGAGTCACATGGTTGCCGCGGACGAGAAACCACGTGCGCTTGTGTTAGGCCATTCGTTTGTGCGAAGACTTAAGGAATTCGCGGCTCACAATCACTCAGATAGACCATATGATCTGAACCTAGGATTGAGTAATGTATGCTCCATCATCTTTCACGGGATCGGGGGCCGAACAGTAGATAAAATGATCAGAAACAATCTCGATAAGATTCGCAGCGTCGCCCACAACATTGTTGTCCTCGAGCTCGGTTTAAATGATTTATGTGACAAGGATAGTGACCCCGAGACAATCAAGCTTTCAATGGTTGAGCTAGCAGAGCTGTTACTTAAAGAATTTAGCTTACGATTTATAGCGGTATGCGAAGTAACTGTTCGTCAAAATGAGCCCTTCGTTGGGTATAACGAGAGAGCTGCACTTCAGAATGGCCACCTGAGGGAGTCATTACACGTCATACCTGCAGCGAAGTGTTGGCAGCATCGTGGTTTAATTAATCCGACGAATAACGCAGTCTACGCGCCTGACGGCATCCACCTGAACTACATTGAAAATAACGCCCTTTACCGAAGCTATAGGGGAGCCATTTTATGGGCACTGTCCCAAGTCAAGCAATGTTAAGCTAAATTTTCTGATGTTAGATAAATTTCTGTTTGTTGAGTGCGGGATATTTCAGTTACTGAGCTATATTAATTTCACCAGTGATACTGGGCACCCGGTGTTTTGGTGCAATTATTACAATGGTTATAATAATTATTGTTTACAGCACGGTAATTATTTGCTGCAGCCCCAGCTTTGTTGAGGGTGGCTGTTTTATCACCACCTATTTTTCGTCTGTTTGCAAGGACACACTACTGGCTTTGGTCAGCATTGGTCATGATACTTACTTCGGCGGGAGCAGTAAAAGGGTTCGCACAGAACATGGGTTATATTTTCTGTTTTCCAGGCTTGTAAATTCACAGAATTTAAAAAGTACAAATACGTTTGGTTGTGTCATTAAGAACATGGTACAAGGGTCAATGCAGGTCTTGTAAACTTGTAGAAATCATATAAAAGGTAATTCAAGATTTAAATTTCAAAGCTCAGAGTATCAACCCTGAATACTGCTCCGTGCCTGCACCGGATATGATGTTGCATCATTGTGTACGCCTATAACAACCTTGTGGTGTTATAGTGAAGTTTGCAACATTTTGTTGCATTGTTTAGCTATCTTAATCCGTGGTCCCTGCTTTCAGCATTCTGGGTCAGGGGCTCTAGTTTATGTCTGTTTTTTCCTCATGGGTGCTCAGTTCGCCATTGTCCTCAACAACGCTCAGTACAACGATTTTCTTTGTTGTTGTTTTTGTTTTGTTCACATGAATAGCAATACCCAAAAGTTTCATTTACTTGCTAGAATGCCACCCAAGAGGGCACAAGGCTACCCTGAGAGAGTTGCAAAGAGGCGGCGGGTGGTAGGCCACAACACCGCGGCTCCAGACCAGCCGGGGACACCCGCACCCGTCCCTGCTGCAACCAGTTCATTCAGAGTCTTCAGAATCCACCCAGGGGGCACCAGTGCCAATGCAGTGTGCATTATCTCAGGAGATGCTATCAACCCTGACCAGTACGATTGCGACAACGGTAACTCGTGCCTTGCGGGAGGTTGCCCAGGTTCCTCCATCAGTACCAGCAGCAATCCCAGCGATACAGTTTATACCAGATCCCACCGTGGGGGCTAGTGCAACTGTTGAGGTTTAGACCTAGCTGAAATCAACCCCTCTCCTAGCTACACCGACCAAACTGTGCAACGAACCGTGGACTCAGCAGTACAGCAAGTAACTGGTTCTTCGTTGTTCTCCTGTGAAGTAGTCTCACCACCGAGTAAGAACACTTTTTTGTCCTCGGCTGTCCTATTAACACACGGAGTACCCAATAAGGTAAAAAACCAAATATGGGCCAATGAGTATGTCGACTTTGCAATCCTGTTAAATAATAGCCTTAATCAATCAGATAAGCATTACACGTTCAGGGTGGAAAAAGGAGAAGGTAGGAAACCAGCTTTAATACTTGCCCCTAATCCTAAAAGGCAGACGGTCCAATCTATAGAGCAGTGTGTCGGTGTCGGCAGCCATTCGTCTCGGGAGACGATGGTGTAGCGCTATGTCGATAGCGCTACACCATCGTCTCCCATCGTCATCGTCTCTATAGAGTCATCGTCTCTATAGAGCAGTGGGTATCAGCCTTTTAGGTTTTCGTCGCCATTTATTCAGAGAAAGTCCCACAGGATACCCAAGCCCTCATGAAATATGGCTCAATAATACGAGAGTTGGCAACCCTGGGAGCAAATTGGAAGTTGACGAGAACTTTCGAAGCATAAGGCAGACCCAAGGGGCACTATGGGACCAGATTCACGCTGAGTTGTGGCTGAGGTCTCATTCCTTACGTGCCAAACTTAGTCCCTAGGCAGGGAAAAGTAAACGAACAGGGCAACGCATTCCAAAGGGGTTTTGTTGGAAATGGGAGTCACAGGCCCCGGGTGTTCCTACAAACACCAATGTTTCCGGTGCGGGAACAACCGCCCAATTTCCAAATGTAAACAATCTTATTCCAAACCACCAGCAGGGAATTCAGGAACCAAACCAACTTCTGGTTCCAGCTATGCCACTTCCAGCCGCAGTCCTACCAACCGAAGCACTCCTAACCCCCGTCAAGGCTAAGAGCTTAGAAGTGTACTTAACTGGTTATCAGGAGGTTTCTCGTAAACATTTATTAGATGGCTTTTCACATGGTTTTCGTTTGCATTTTCAAGGGCCTCAAGAGGGTTCATGTTCCAACAATCTTCTTTCAGCATCTGAGCACTCCGACATTGTTGATCAAAAGTTAGCTTAAGAAATACAAGCAGGTTGGATAATTGGACCATTTGAAAAGCCCCCATTACATAATCTCAAAGTGTCTCCTTTGGGAGTTATTCCCAAAAAAGTGCAAGGTGAATACAGAATGATTCACCACCTGTCATTCCCCTTTGGAGGTTCAGTTAATGACTTTATTCCTCCAGAGTTCTGCTCAGTACAATATGCCACAGTTGATTACGCAGTTCAGACTATTAAACGTTTAGGTATAGGATGTGCTCTGGCTAAGACTGACGTTCGGAGTGCTTTTCGTATAATCCCTGTTCACCCTCTCGATTACCAGTTGCTGGGGATGCAATGGAGGGGGAAATATTATGTTGATTGTTGCCTCCCAATGGGGTGCGCCATTCATGTAAGACCTTTGAAGCCGTCAGCACCGCAATGGAGTCGGTAGCAGGCAACAAATTAGCGATTCCTAATATAATACATGTTTTAGATGATTTTATTATCTTGGAAAAATACCACAAGGCATGTGCTGCTAGTCTTCAACGGTTTTTACATTTTTGTGAAGATATTGGCGTCCCCATGGCCCCAGAAAACACAGAGGGTCCTAATCAGGTATTGACATTTGCAGGTATAGAATTGGATTGTTTAATTCTCGAGGCCAGACTTCCGATGGAAAAAGTTGACAAAATCTTGGGGGCAATCCGCAATCTGCTGCCTAGAAAAAGATTTCAACTGAAAGAGCTCCAATCGATTGTAGGTCTCTTACATTTTGCTTGTTCGGTCATCACCCCTGGCAGAGTTTTTATTCGGCGACTGATAAATCTCTTCATGGGTGTGAGACGTGCACACCACGGTATCCGTTTAACCAGAGAAACTAAAAAGGATTTAAGAATCTGGGAAACCTTCGTAGCCTCTTTCAATGGGAATTCCTTTCTCATAGAGGAAGTCTGGTCTACCCCCTATAACTTAAAGTTTTACACAGATGCCGCACATTCTAGCGGGTGCGGCATCCTCTTTGGCAAGCACTGGGCTTATGGTACATGGCCCGATGCATGGAAAGCGAATAATATTTGCCTTCTGGAGTTTTTTCCTATTGTTTTTTCCTATTGCCTATTGAAAAACAAGAGAGTGCTCTTTATGACGGATAACGACAGCGTAGTTTATGTCATCAATAAGCAAACAGCGAAGGAAGCTTGGGTTACTGCGCGCAATGGTTCTTATTTGCCTGAGGAACAATATTTTCTTTAGGGCACGCCATATTCCAGGAGTTAAGAACGTGCTAGCTGATAGTATGTCTCGTTTACAGGTCGGCAAACTCTACACATTGTCTCGGGGTATGGATCCAACACCAACCCCGCTGCCAGCCCATCTTCTACCAGAGAACTGGGTAATAGACTAGCCCAGTTATTAGAAGCGAGTTTGAGTGCCAGCTCATTAAATATGTACCTTCGTCCACGGCAGATTCTGCAGCATTTTAAAAGGGATAAGCTTAAGCTCCAAACCCCTCTATTTCCAATTTCAACTCATACGTTGGCCCTGTTTATCGCCTTTGCGAAATGATTCAGCTCGCTCTCCGGGGCTACAGTAAACTTAACCCTTCGGCAGATTCTCGGTTGCCCATCACATTGCCAATACTTGAAGATATTATTTTAGCATGCGAACACACAAAATCATTATTATATAGTAGGAAATTAATTCACGCGATGTATGCCCTTGCTTTCTTCGCTACCCTAAGAGTTTGTGAAATTACATCTCGAACTCATCAACCCCGTCAAAATATAATTGCTATTAGTCAAACGGTATTTTTGAAAACCCGGGAGGGTACTGTCAGTGCGATCAAGCTAACACTTAGGAATTACAAGCATAGTGACGCTTCAAATCCAGTAGATATTTTCATATACCGAGAGAGGCCAGTTTGCCAAGTTTCTCCCCTGTTAGAGTTTCTAAGTTTGCGGGGACAGTCTCCGGGACCTCTTTTCTGCTGGCCGGATGCCTCTCCAATATCTCGATCTTGCTTTGTGGCTGCTTTGACAGAAGACCTTCAGTTTTGCAATTTGAATGTTGCTCAGTATAAGACGCACAGTTTTAGAATTGGAGCCGCTTCTTGGGCCGCCGCTAAGGGCATGTCAGACACACAGATTAGGGCATTTGAACGCTGGGAATCTAATGCCTTTCCACGGTGTATACGCACTTCCACAACTAGGATTATCTCAGCAGTCATAACTTAACCCAGTGCCATATGCTCATGCTTGCAGTTCAAAACATTTAATATCTAAATAGTATTATTCCTCAAGTAGAGTGCAGATCTTTTGTGCAGGGGCCAAGTGTATCTGCATCTTACTGGTAGCCAACAGTACTAGATATATTTGTTCTGTTACGTATAGAGTTGACTGCTCGGGAACATTTCTGCGGGGCCAACTGTTTCCTGAAAGGCGCAACTTATCTTAGATTGATCTTATTTTACGATGTCTTGATCAAACCATGTGTGCAGGGGCCACTTGGTTCATTCAGAGCTGTTACGCACGGGTTAACAATGCAATGCTCTACTAACTATGATGCAACATTCATTTATTTGGTGTTAGGTTATCTAGCTGCCTGGTTGGGAACTTTTGTGCAGGGGCCAATCGTTTCCTAAAAAGTACCACAAACCTTGAGACCAACGTAGTTCTGTTTAATGTTGGAAAGCAGGTTACCAATTTGTGCATCAGACCTTGTGTGCAGGGTCCACTTAAGACAGTTTCAGTTACTAGGAGAGAGTTCCTGCAGAGCTTTTGCCATGTTATATAG